TAGCTACAGTGAAGGATCATGGTTGTCTAGCTACAGTGAAGGGTCATGGTTGTCTAGCTACAGTGAAGGGTCATGGTTGTCTAGCTACAGTGAAAGATCATGGTTGTCTAGCTACAGTGAAGGATCATGGTTGTCTAGCTAGTGAAGGACAGTGAAGGGTCATGGTTGTCTAGCTACAGTGAAGGGTCATGGTTGTCCAGCTACAGTGAAGGGTCATGGTTGTCTAGCTACAGTGAAGGATCATGGTTGTCTAGCTACAGTGAAGGATCATGGTTGTCTAGCTACAGTGAAGGGTCATGGTTGTCTAGCTACAGTGAATGGTCATAGTTGTCTAGCTACAGTGAAGGGTCATGGTTGTCTAGCTACAGTGAAGGATCATGGCTGTCTAGCTACAGTGAAGGATCATGGTTGTCTAGCTACAGTGAAGGGTCATGGTTGTCTAGCTACAGTGAATGGTCATAGTTGTCCAGCTACAGTGAAGGGTCATGGTTGTCTAGCTACAGTGAAGGGTCATGGCTGTCTAGCTACAGTGAAGGGTCATGGTTGTCTAGCTACAGTGAAGGATCATGGTTGTCTAGCTACAGTGAAGGATCATGGTTGTCTAGCTACAGTGAAGGATCATGGTTGTCTAGCTACAGTGAAGGATCATGGCTGTCTAGCTACAGTGAAGGATCATGGTTGTCTAGCTACAGTGAAGGATCATGGTTGTCTAGCTACAGTGAAGGGTCATAGTTGTCCAGCTACAGTGAAGGGTCATGGTTGTCCAGCTACAGTGAAGGGTCATGGTTGTCTAGCTACAAGTGAGAGTCATGGCTGTCTAGCTACAGTGAAGGGTCAGGGTTGTCAAGCTACAAGTGAGAGTCATGGCTGTCAAGCTACAAGTGAGAGTCAGGGTTGTCAAGCTACAATTGAGATTCAGGGTTGTCAAGCTACAAGTGAGAGTCATGGTTGTCAAGCTACAATTGAGAGTCAGGGTTGTCAAGCTTCAAGTGAGAGTCATGGTTGTCAAGCTACAATTGAGAGTCAGGGTTGTCAAGCTACAAGTGAGGGGTCATTGTTGTCAAGCTACAAGTGAGAGTCAGGGTTGTCAAGCTACAAGTGAGAGTCAGGGTTGTCAAGCTACAAGTGAGAGTCAGGGTTGTCAAGCTTCAAGTGAGGGGTCAGGGTTGTCAAGCTACAAGTGAGAGTCAGGGTTGTCAAGCTACAAGTAAGAGTCGGGGTTGTCAAGCTACAAGTGAGAGTCAGGGTTGTCAAGCTACAAGTGAGAGTCAGGGTTGTCAAGCTAAAAAGTGAGGGGTCTTTGTTGTCAAGCTACAGAAATTGGCATTGGTTGGCCACCTACTTCAGTCACAGTGCACATGAATGTCCCCAAAGTCCTGAGTCACATGCTTGGCAGGGCTCCATGGAATTATATCTTAATTAGCTCTCTTCCCTTGTTATTGATCAGCAATGAAGAATCCCAACTGAACAATACAACTGTGGCTAATTGTTTCTAAAAAAAAAGTCTTATGCTAGTCATTTCAAAGCTGGAATCTCACAAATGATATTGATGAGAATGGAGCTCTGCCTCTGTTCGAGATCCCCCATGCAAGCAACCCCCATTGCTATCAGGTAATCAGTGAACTGGCTATGCAAGATATGGGTGATCTGGAGGTCTCTGGGGAGTGACAGCCTGGAGGACTGTATTGTTTAGGCATTTGTTTAGCATGATGGGCAGGCTATTTGCATAATGAGGACATCTTCGACTTTAATAGCCTAGTGGCAATTGCTTGGCGATATATTTCAGAAAGCACTCTATGTTGCTTCTTCTATTGTCCATACTTAAGATCAATGATATTTTATAACTGCCACTTATTATGCTATATCCATCTGTTTACAAAATTGGATTTCTGGCACAAAAAGTTGTCTATGCTTGAAATATGAAGGGTACCTTGTTGTAAAAGAGTAGTATTCTGTGTATGGTATTATTGCAGGAGTTATGTCGATACAGGATTATTTGCCAGACCGGAACTATCCTATTGTCTGGTTGGATCATTATAAACATGAACAGTATACTGCTACCAGACAATTGATAATTATTTTTGCTAAACCCCAGGCTAATGAACAAATATCTGCTTCAGAGTGAAAGTCACATTTTATGTTGTGTCTGGTATGAGTTTTGTCATACATTTTAATTGACATTCTAAGGTTTGGAGACAACAGTGAATTGAATGGTGAGCCAGATATTGTGGTCTTAAGTCCGCCAGCAGGTAATTCTTGGATGTAGCTGGCAAACTGGGCTGGATGGTGTAAACATTGTTGAACTCCTTTGATATTACGGCACCTGAAATAAACCAGGTCAGAGTTGACAGTACAATGAATGTAATACATAACCATTACAATTTGTCTTTTACATGAGGCTTGCGCTTAAACCACAAAGAGTACTCAAATGCAAATCTATATGAACTTACTTTCAGACAACTTGGTCCTTAAATATTGTTTCCTTGTCATTTTAGAGTTTAATTTATAGTAACCAGTGCATAGAAACCATTAAAAATGCTATACCTATGTTATTCATTGTTAGTGCAGTATTTTATTAAAATATAAAAATAATCATTTTTTCCCCTACCTGGGTCCATTCTCGAAGAATTTTCATGGTAAGATTCCAACAAGTCTGTGTTAGCCACAAGTCATGTCTTACTCCTTGAAAAGGGTTATGTAAATAGACTCATTCTGTGTATTCCATGGCTTCCTGTGGTAACACTGGTGAATGAACCTTCATTCTTCATAGTCCAGGCACCAGGTCATCACAAGACCAAATCTGCCTCAGATGAAGTTCAGTTTTCCTGTTGTTGGTGTTCCTTACTATTGGGCAGCTTCCATGGATTTTCATCCAAACCGTGACACCTTGCCTTTGCATGACAGACTCATCGTCTTCTCCAAACCGTGACACCTTGCCTTTGCATGACAGACTCATCGTCTTCTCCAAACCGTGACACCTTGCCTTTGCATGACAGACTCATCGTCTTCTCCAAACCGTGACACCTTGCCTTTGCATGACAGACTCATCATCTTCTCCAAACCATGACACCTTGCCTTTGCATGACAGACTCATCGTCTTCTCCAAACCGTGACACCTTGCCTTTGCATGACAGACTCATCATCTTCTCCAAACCGTGACACCTTGCCTTTGTTTCCAGATGCTGATCATTGTACAGACCTACTTTATGACTGCTTGGCCAATCCAGATTCATTGTCACACTGGATCAGTTAATGTGCATGAATGTCAAAACAGTCATTGATTGGTGTCTTTGGACAATTAAAATACCCTCTGTAGTTAAAAGAGGCACTGATTTCTTTAATTATGCTATAGAAACAATCAAATGGTGACCACAAACCCATCACTGTACTTTGGCACTATCCATTGTGGCACTGGTGTGAACATTGACAGTGTTTTCACATGGATTGTAGTGCTTTTTATTACCTACGAAGGAGAAAATATCATATTTTTAATACAATGCCCTAGGGCAAAATATCACTTCATCATGGTGACGTGACGTCATGAACAATGCGGCGACGGCGTGTAGACAGCCTATGTTTGAAAGTAGATTTGGATTTATTTTCCTCAATTTGACAACTTTGGTAATAAATAGAACATTTTATTCATGCCCATATCATACTATGTTTACGACAAGAGTGCCTAAATACGGGTATTTCTCTCGCTCTTGCTCAGGAAATACCAACACTTCAGCACTCGTGTCGTAAACATAGTATGACATGAGCTCTCATATAATATCCTGTGTTTACTTTTGGGCCAAGTCAAGGCAGGATTTATCAATGGAGAACCTGCTGAAATTCATGTTACGCCATCATTATCATTTTTTGTCCAGTGGAAGATGATCATTCAGGAGACCTAGTTTGGAAAGAGGTAATGACCTTGAAACCGAAATCCCCTGGGTTGAGAAGGGTCCTGGCAGAAGCTTCGTATTGCTGTAGTCCTGAGGCTGAGTGTACACATAAGCTTCATGTTTAGGAGCTTCAAGTCATGTTCTAAGAAGGAAATCAGAAATGTCTGCCGCTGATTTATCATTAGTTCAATAGTTATGTAAAAAAGTAAGTTCAGAATTTGGTTAAGTATTTTTATAGTCTTCTGTTGATTGATTATGTGTTTGGAATTTTTGACATAACATGCGATTTGGATGGAATTTCATAAACTCACTCGGGAAATTAAAAAATATCTAGTTTCGTAAAATCAGCATGACTGATACATGTTAGTAATATTCTGAATAGAAGTGTTGAAAATGAACGTTTCATATTTCATCTATTTTGATAGCAGATGCATTATGGTTCCTGGCTCAGAAAACTACAGAAATGGACATGTTTCCTCGTATTTTACCGGGCATTTCAACAACTTGAAAGTTACCTTTTTCTTGCAAATAAAGTTGACATTCATTCTTGGCAAAATGTGGCTATTGTGCAGTTTCTTCATAAAGACACTCCCACACAATAAAGATGCACATTTTAAGCATGTGCAATCAGTGCATGAATTTCAGTGCAAATGTATTAATGGTAATCAATTTGGGTGTTGTAAACTGTACCACACATCACTGTGAACATGTTATAAACTGTACCACACATCACTGTTAACATGTTATAAACTGTACCACACATCACTGTACCACACACTGTTACATCACTGTTAACACTGTACCACACATATAAACTGTACCACACATCACTGTTGACAACATATTACAAACATTATATAAAATGTTACAAGGTTGCAAACATCTGCCCAGAAAGAACCGTGGTGTAAAAGAAATTAAGCATAATCATATTACAAACTTTAGGACAATGTTACAACAAATGGTGCCCAAGCAATCCAAAGGGGAACTAACAAATGGTGGGAAGGGGGAACACTTGGCCAGACTCCCTGTTCTTCCAGGATGTGTATATGATGATTTCATCTATTTTTTTATCCATGTAGGAATTCACTGATGCCTCTGTATTGTATTTTCCAGGTCAGGATCTGGTCAGCTGGATGATGAGGAACCTGGATGTGGAGGACCAAGGTGAGCAGCCATCTTAAATTTTCTGTAATCAATATGACCTTGTAAGAATCTTACCTCATCCTTAGATAGTGAAGAGTCTTCTGTTCCAAGACCGTATCCGTTATCAGTGTAGGGCCTTGTCAGTATCTTTGTACCACCTTTAGAATTGTTATTATGGTAACCAAATCATCTGTTTCACATTGCATTTCCATTGCAGAAATATCCAGAATTTATTGAATGATACAGAAATTATAAATTTGTTTGGTAATTTCTGTACAAGTCAAAAGGCTGTATTTCCAATAATGCTGTATTTCCACATGTGACTGTGAGAAAAAGTGTCCGTCTTGAAAGGTATTCATTTGTGTGGCTTGGTTGCACAAGCAGAATATAAGTGTACCGTTCGGAGTTCAAATGCCTTTGAAGCTGCATGGAAACAGTTCCTTGGGTGCAAGAAAATTTATGACAAGAGCAGAGTATTATGTGTGTATTTGTGGTCTTAATTATCGGAAACAAATGAGGCTGTGGTTAGCAGTAACTTTGTATTTCACACCCTGTCAGACACACTGCTTCTTCAGAGCAGGATGATTGGGTCAGGAGATGATCGACCTATTCAATGAGGTTTTGATGGACCTGTACAGTGATTGAGATTTGGGGCAATAGATGTTCCACCTACATGTGTCTAGCATTCTGCCCCAGGGGTTCAAGCAGAGCACTCTGTGGCATAACAGAACAAAAATTAATGTTGTGTTTATTGTTTGTGTGATGTCCTGCAAACAGGGCTGTCTGCAAGGAAAGATTTGATGTTTAGTCTTCTTAATTGCCCTTTCTGATCCTGGCGCTGAATTAATTCTGGGATGTGTGAGTGAGGGAGTTTGGTTTTACCCCACTTTTAGCAATATTCCAGCAATATCACAGTGGGGAGCACCAGAAATCGGCTTCATACATTGTACCTATGTGGGGAATCGAACCCAGGTCTTTTCCGTGATGAGCAAACGCTTTAACCACTGGGATACCCCACTGCCCACATTCTGGGATGAAATTGTTTTATTTTAATTTGAGTGTTTCGGACAATGTAGTTTTACATATTAGGTTCCTTTGGTAAAAGTGTTTTAACTTTATGAAAGATATTTGCAAATGTTCAAATTCATTAATGATATATCATGGTTTCTAAAGCTAACCTATGACAATTTATTATGTGAGTGTTTTAATATTTTCCTTGTTATAGGTCGAAGGTCAGTGATGTTGGTATGTCAGATAAGCTGTATGGGCTGAGGCAACATGATTTGATCTTATTGTGGACAGTCAATTGATAACTGAAAGTAAACGATAATATGTAGTCATGAGTACAGCATTCATCCACATCACACAATATATCCATAATTCTTTTACTCATGAAGGTATGTTTTCAGCAACCAGTGCTTCTTTAAGAGGTGACTAACCGTATCGGGTAGTCAGGCTCCCTGACAGAGGTTCCTCTTGAGTAGACTGATGATCATGGTGTCAATCACTGGATTGTCTGGTCCAGACTTCATTATTAACAGGCCACTGTCATATACCTGGAATATTGCTGAGTGTAGTGTTAAATAAGGAACAGTCAATAAAACCACCAGTTACTTTAATTATTCAGTAATAATGTATGTTCTACATACTTAAACATGATAGCTGTGTTTTTGTATTTGGTGGGAGTAGTATCTCATCCACCTCTGTGACTAGCTTGAGGGGAGTAGTATCTTCTCCACCTCTGTGACTAGCTTGAGGGGAGTAGTATCTCATCCACCTCTGTGACTAGCTTGAGGGGAGTAGTATCTCATCCACCTCTGTGACTAGCTTGAGGGGAGTAGTATCTTCTCCACCTCTGTGACTAGCTTGAGGGGAGTAGTATCTCATCCACCTCTGTGACTAGCTTGAGGGGAGTAGTATCTTCTCCACCTCTGTGACTAGCTTAGTATCCTCTCCACCTCTGTGACTAGCTTGAGGGAGTAGCTAGCTTGAGGGGAGTAGTATCTTCTCCACCTCTGTGATTAGCTTGAGGGGAGTTGTATCTGTGTCACATGCAGAGGTAATCTACAACAGTACCAGCTGTCCTTCAACTCTGAGACTTGTTTGAGAGCCATATCTCCACCCACTCTGTGACTAGCCTGATAATAGCAGTGTATGTGCCCTAGTTTAATGGTGATTTCTTCCTGATTATCACATTTTCCTTTAATTCACATCAAAGTGCGTTGCCTAGATACGCTTGTGTTGAAATCTGACTTGCCTAGACAAAAACTGCTTCCCCCGCAACCGTTTGTTGTGCAACAATAGAAGGCCACAGCTAATTTCACAACTACTTCCAATGTCTAATTTTACTCAGCTTGCATTTTTGTAATTCAATCATTTCATGAAAATGAATATTGGCTCAATATTTTACTTTAGAGAGATAGCGGGAGAAATGTTCAAGGCAGAAAGTTGATGGAATCAGTTGTGTGGCATATGGTCTTGGTACAACTTCACCTTGTTAGTTTCACAACCTTAAGAAGCAATTGCATTTAAATTTGCATTGTCATCTGCAACCTTTAGTAGATTATCTAACTACTTTATTCTAAATTTAAATGAGTCTCTGAAAAAAGATTGCAGTTAGAATTTCATGGTTTTAAATACATCTAGCCTTTCACACATGTAATTAATACTGATCAGTTCATACCAACAGTCATCCTTCAGGCAGGTAATTTGATCCTTTGAAAAAATAGTTTTCTGTACATATTTTTATCTTAAGCAGATCAGGATCCTGTTCTGCATCAGACCAGTCTGTGGTGCACCATCAATCTATAGTTGTGGTAATTGATTGCTCATTATTCTGTATCCCTATTATTTAATCAGATTTAGGACATGATACTGCATGATGAAACGTAATGGATGCATTAAATAAAGCCTCTTGCTGAATCTAGGATTTGTGTGGCCAACATTTATCTTGTGGAAAGATACTTTAAGCTGATATTTAACATGATTTTTCACAATTTATGTGGGATTGTCATACAAACGGTACTGGATCGCCGATACAGATGATACAGCGCCGTGTATCTCGGCATCACTTGAACATGAGCGTGGGTATGCCACTGACCCACAATTGCTCAGAATCCGGTTGAACCTGGAACTTGAACCAGGACCAAAGGGTAATGTCTCACCTGTCGCCTCTGCCATCTTGGGGTTAAGGAAGTTAGGTGGAAATGAGTAGTTGCAACACATGTTTGGTCAAGTTGACAAAGGTGAAATGAACAGATCTAAGTCCTACATGTGTAGTGGGATCCTGTCCTTCAGTCACATTAAAATCATATCAGTATAGAGACCCAACATGCATACAAGACTGCCACAGATCTAAGTCCTACATGTGCTCCAGTGTAGAGACCCAACATGCATACAAGACTGCCACAGATCTAAGTCCTACATGTGCTCCAGTGTAGAGACCCAACATGCATACAGGACTGCCAGAGATCTAAGTCCTACATGTCCAGTGTAGAGATCCAACACATACAGGACTGATCTAAGTCCTACAGTGTCCAGTGAGACCCAACATGCATACAAGACTGCCAGAGATCTAAGTCCTACATGTGCTCCAGTGTAGAGACCCAACATGCATACAAGACTGCCACAGATCTAAGTCCTACATGTGCTCCAGTGTAGAGACCCAACATGCATACAAGACTGCCACAGATCTAAGTCCTACATGTGCTCCAGTGTAGAGACCCAGCATGCATATCAGTATGCCAGGCACCAACTAGTGGAAATGTAACATTTAAGTATTTGACATGTTTAAGGAAGAAGTTACTGTGTGAAGACAGTGTACTCATGTTCAAAGACATTGGATCAATTTAACGAAAAGTACTCCACTCTTAAGAACATATTGTTATTCAATAATGAAAATGGGCCACTCCAAGAGCACAGTTTGTCACTTGTGGTGTGGCAGTAAATTTGATTACCTTTTGCCATTTGAATAACTCCAAGCATTATTTGATCATTCCAGAAAGGTCTCTAGGTCACTAAAACCAAAGAGAAAGTCACGTTTCAGTATGGTTGAAAATTTGACAAGACGATTGTGTCGCCGATATTAAATGGAACAGATACAGTTTGTCTTTGAAAATGAAACTATGCTGCATTAATTAAAAAAGCCAATGTGATCAAGACTTTGTTAATCTGATGGCTGAGAGAACTGTTAAGCATGGTCATTATCCATATCTTGAAATAGATTGTGATGATGGAAGGCCATTTTTTATCTGCCATGTAATTTCTGGCTGCCATTGATTCCAGGGGTGAAAGTGATGTCCATTGTACTCTCTAATTTGTATGTTTATTCATTACACAGAGGGAAGCAACTCATCAGAGTTGAGTTGGCCCACTTATTCCTCAACTTGAAGTAAGGTATCACCTTCTTTCTGATCAAAATTTGCACAAGGCCATGACTGTGTGTCCACACCTGTCTATGCAAATCTTATGTTCATGATAATAGTAGTTCCTTTAAGTTACAGATTTAAAGAGAATGAAAAATGCAGGTGTCTTTCTTGTAATACATCATAACCTGAACAATATCAAGTTCTGAAAAAAACATCTAAGGTATTATGAAAGTATATCTGATTAATGTGTGTTAAGAATGGTTTATAGTTTGATTGGTTTAGTTTTACATGGATGTCTAATTGGGTAGAGGAAATAGGGTTATGGAGTTTAATTCGAAATGTATGTGAAAATATGTGTGGCTTAATGGTTTAAAGATATGGAATGGTTAAGAATTGTTTTATGTTTATTTGACATTGATTTCATATTTGGTTCAGTGAGTTAAAATTCAGATTGAAATAGCTTCACCTCCACAAGGCTAGAAAACAAGAGAGATTGCTTCAGTTCCTATATATTTATTAAGTTGAGCAATATTGCAATGGCTCCAGTATTTGGTATCTAAAGTTCACAACCTATGAGGTACAGTTGAGGATGCTCTTTCTATGTAGATTTCAATCATCTCTTGCTTGAAAGATATTCAAAAAAGGTTTGAACAA